TCAGCCGGACTAGAAGTAAAATTAAAAAAAAGAAGACCTTTAATTGGTGCCTAATATTTAGGGCAATTGCCTTTAATTGGTGCCTAATATTTAGGGCAATTGTAATATTGTTTTTTTAATTTTTATTTAATGGTTTTCTTAACAGAGTTTAAGACATGACTAAATTTACATTTTATAGGGGGTACAAGGACCAATTTGAGTATGAAGCCCTAGTAGAGGGTTCAAATTGGTCTTTTAGCGTTAGAATGTCATGGTTTGCATTTGAATGACAGCCTTTGGAATATTTTGACGAAGTGTTCGCTATCATTCTTTTTAACTCAATTGAATCAGGAAACTAATTAGTTGACAAGTCAATTTTTTTACCTCTGTAATAATATTGGCTAGGAAAGATTTCGTGTACTATTGCCTAGGTGAGGATAGACTTGACGAGGATAGACCCGATGACTATTTTAACTCTTAAAAGAGTCAAAATTTTCATTCGGAGAGTCTTTTTGCACTAATATAACTAGGGGGAATTCTAACTGGGCAGTACCTAAGATTTATCCACAATTAATCGAAGACAATTAAAATAATGCCAGGTTAGGCTCTTAAAGCATAAAGTTGGTTGTTTCATGCTTTGATATTGATGCTCAACTACAATCTGAAAATGAAAGCTTGAACTAAACGAAACACAAGGTCGTAGAGTATAAAAATTATAACTGTTACGACAATTTTGGAGTTTTAACCAAGTTTAAATTCTGTAAAGTTTGCACTTAAAGAGCATCTTAAACAAGACATCGATCGTAAAATAGTCTAATTTCTATCATAAGGCCGAGTCAGCCTAGGAACACATGTTAGAATATGAAAAATTATAATCATTAATAATCCCGTAATTTCTCATCAGAAATCGTGCCTAAACCGAGAGTTAGTGCATCTTAAACTCATCATTCATTCTTATTATTTCTGGCATGGACATATATATATACTCATGAATAAACATTCGTAGAAATGAAATTAACTTTAAGACGATCAAACTTAAAATTTACGCCCTTGTTCAATGAATCAACGTTTCAGTCAGTAGGATGTTGATGGGAAGTCGTCGTAGAATCTATAAAGAGCCGTCACATTTGTTCAATGTTTTTAGGGCATGCAGGTCCAAGTGGACAGGCTACGGCTGCATGCGTGGAGTCTTTTTCCAAAAGCCACAATTTGATACGCGACACACAAAAAATTGAAAAAGAGAATGACAGTATCCAAAGAATTAAACGAGGACCACGAGCTACGGTTGCCAACTTTTTCCTAACAGCTTGACTTCGTTATGTATAACTACAAAAGATGACAGTTGGGTAAATCTTGACAGATATCTGACTAGGATTAGGCAACAACTTGTATTGGTATACATAGGCAATAGTTTAGGCTCATGGCCCACTCTATCCCACAGACCTATGAAATTGAATTTGCCTTTCACAAATAAAAATGTGCAATAGGTTAAAAAAAATTAAGAGCAAAATAATTAAGTGGATCGGTATTTTATTTTTTCCAAGAAAAAGAGAAATTTGGTAGGTTAGTGGATGACTAAAAATGTGGTTTTTTTAATGCTTAATCTAAACTAACCAGTTTCAAATGTGGTTTTCCCAATTGCTATGTTAAAAGACCTATATATATGACACTCTCCGGTAACTCCCAATATGCTACAGTTGTCAACCAGAAACCAGTTTAAGGTAATCATTTAATTACGAAACACTATTTATAATATATCTATTTAACGCGGCGCGGAAGTGATAACCTTGGAATCCATCAATGGTATTATCTGAATCCACAAAAAACGATCTTCGAATCCACGAAGAAAATATTGAAAAGAAAAATTTTATTGATGAAAAGTTATTCTCCTTTGGGGTTACATGACTCTTCTTAAATAGAAAAACAAATAAGACTCCTAGTAAGACTAGAATTATAAAAATAGAAAGTCTCAAATAAGACTCCTAGTAAGACTAGAATTACAAAAAAAAAGTGTCAAATTCTATCATAAAAAGACTCCTTATAATAGAGGAAACAAATCACGAATCAAAATTGATTTTGTTTCCTAATCTAATTTGACTCTAAAATTAAATTTATTTTCTAATCTATATTTATTAATCTAAATAGACTCCAACTCAGATTAAGCATCCTACATTAGTCTTCCCTTGTTGAAAGAAGCTCGACCCCGAGCTTATATTTGTTAGAATAGTAGCTTCATTGATAAATAATTTTCTTCTCTTGCAATGATCAGCATCCGCCTTGTATTTAGTATTAATTTTCTCTATTTGCTCTTTTATCTCCTCTGCTAGGACTTCTTTTGTATCAAACTTGTGTATGAATCTTTTCCATGACAAGTTTATGTAACTGACAGCATGTGGCTTTGTAGTTGACATGAAAAACTCCTCCAAATATTTTCCTTGTTGCTTCCCATATACTAGTGTCGACAGTATCATCTCACTATTGTTAAAATTATTGATGATTATTGCTTCAAAAAAATAATTTTTTTCCTCATACTCCATACACAATTCTTTCATCTCCTTTATCTCAAGCTCTCCACCAAGCAATGCACACATACCATCAATTGTCTCACTCCCTATTTTATCTTTCTCCTCCATCGGGACAATATTAATATGTGTAACATCACTCACAATATCATGTAGAATATTCATCTTCATTAACATATCATCATCAACATCAGGAACCTCAGGATGAATCTTGATGGTGGCAAAATCTTCCTTTCCGGAGGTGAGCGTCTTGTTGTTTGCCACGTGCTGTTGTTTGCCACTAGAGACACCTGCCATTGCTTGTAATTAGAAGGTAAGAAACGATCTCTTAATAATTTCTTCATCTTTGCCCACGTTCGAACCAAATCCTTTCCTTGATGGTATCGATTTATCAGTACTTCATCCGACCATGCAGATGTTTTTTCTTGAAGCCTGTAGACCACTAATTTAACTTTCCAATCTTCTGGGATTATATTATACTCAAAATACTTATCCACTTTATCAATCCAATCAAGGATATCATCAGCATGAAGCTTTCCATTAAATGATGGTATTTTTAATCCTCCAGCATCATAGTTCTCCTTTCTTCGGTAGCCTCTATGATCATCGTTGTAGAATTTATCTTGTGAAGTCAGATCACGTCGTTGGCGACCATCAACGCGATTTTGAACTCCCGCCGTGTTCAGACGCTCAACTGCTGCCGCAAGTCGCTCTATGACAGTCTTCATCTGATTAACATCGGCATTTAGCACGTCGAACTCAGTTTGAGAAATAGAGGCTTCATCACCTGCTATCGGATCGGAGGAACAATGCTCTGATATCAATTGACGCAGCGCGGAAGTGATAATCTCGGAATCCACCAAGGGTGTTATCTGAATCCACAAAGAACGATCTTTGAATCCACAAAGAAAATATTAAAAAGAGAAATTTTATTGATGAAAAGTTATTCTCCTTTGGGGCTACATGACTCTTCTTAAATAGAAAAACAAATAAGACTCCTAATAAGACTAGAATTACAAAAATAAAAAGTATCAAATAAGACTTCTAGTATGACTAGAATTACAAAAAAAAGTGTCAAATTCTATCCTAAAAATACTCCTTACAATAGAGTAAACAAATCATGAATCAAAATTGATTTTGTTTCCTAATCTAATTTGATTCTAAAATTAAATTTATTTCCTAATCTATATTTCCTAATCTAAATAGACTCCAACTCAGATTAAGCATCCTACATCATAATTTCTCGAAATTAATCTTTTTCTCTACAGATGATACTATTTTTTTGTATGATGCTTTCCTTCCTAATTTCACTATCATGGAGGTTTTGCTGGGACAACTTTGCTCTTTATGATTGTTTTCCCCTTTATCTGAGCAAATGGGCCAATATTAAGTATTCAAAGAGAGGAAGAAAAGATCATTTAAACGTGAAACTTCAAAATACAGTGACATAAAGACTATAATACTATCGGAGTTATTTGTCCTCCACTTCTGCGGTAGTATTATATATATAGTGGCAGTGACGTTAAAGCAAAATTAGAAATAGTGCACATGTTTGGATTAAAATAGGGGAGTATAAAGATTA